GCCCAAAGCAGAAGTGGCTAAAGAGACTTTAGCTGGAATTATTTAAAGAAGCAGCTAGCAGGTGTCACTTCCAGCATACTGTGATAAAACCAGTTCATTGACCCCTAAGCTCTGCTGTTTGTGTCTGAATGAGAGGTCAGAAGTGATACCAAGCTGGAAACTGGTCCAACCAGTCTCTAGGACTCAAGAACCATGGAATCTGAGTGTGGAGCTGAGATCACTGTTCTGCAGGCCTTTCAAAAAGGCCTTGGGAAAGCTTTTGAATATTGTTTCATCTAAGGAGAAAGAGTAGTGTTTTGGTAGTTACCCTCAGTAGCCACTGAAGGAAGTGATTGTATTAAATGCTAGAAGGCCTCTGATCTAATACAGGAGGGAACCAACATTGCCCACAACCAGAAAGCAGCCTCCCTTTACCCAGAAGAGGCTCGTTCATTTCTCCAAGAAATCATTGACCTTGCCCTCCCTTCCTTACAGAGTTGTTTGAGGGAAGTGTTTTGTAAACTTTAATGTGCCATAAAAATGTGAGTTTATCAGTTATTATTTTTCTTCAATTCTTTTATTCATGGTAGAGTTATAGCAGCAGCATGGAGTAGTGGATAGAGGGCTAGTCTTGGAGTCAGGAAGACCTAGGTTCAAATCCACCTCAGAAACTTATTAATTGTGTGATGCTGGTCAAGTCACTTAACTTGTGCCTCAGTTTTCCTCATATGTAAAATGAGAATATTGGTCTCAGCCTTGAAAGTCCCTTCCAGTTCTAAATCTATGAGCCTATGAACTTGGAGGTATATATAACCTATGGCCAAGAACCCCAGCTTCTGGATTTATATGAATTGGGTTCAATCTTGAGGGACAGCTTCCCCAAATCACTCTCTTTTTTTTCATGTTGCCACTACCTAGAGTTTCCTGTGGGAATTCTCCCAACTATAGCTTATGTAGCTTATGCACAGGTCTCCACAGATGTAGGTAAAAGGGTAGCAAGATCCCATATAAGCATTCAAGGTAACAAAACCATACTGGGTATAGCCTTTATTCTACACTACAGTTAATGCAGAAAAACATAAGTATTTACAGCAGATCATAAATAGTAGATAACATTCCCCTTCTTTTTCCAATGAGTTTCACATCACTCCCCTTCTCCTCTCCCCCTACCCTTTCAGAATATATGTAGTCCCCTACATCATAGTGGCTGGTGGTTTATATCCCCTTCAAAAATGAATGAAATTAACTGGAAGTTGCTAGGAAAACAGCAACTTCCAACATTCTGATATGCCCCACTTTTTACCTCAGAAATCTATAAAGTTCCATACCTTATGATACTATCCTAAAGGCTTGGGTCCCCTTATACTTGGGCTTGTTAGAGAAGCAGGCAATCAATCACTCAACAAGCACTTCCAAAACACCTAGTGTATGTCAGGCACAATGCTTTAATAGTCCTTATCTCAGTGAGCCTACATGTTATTACAGACCCTTCCTCCATCATCCCTGAAATGTCCAAAATAACTCATGGTAATAGCGAAAGGCAAAGAGCAGGCTTTTTGTACCCTCATATTGTGGCTTAGACTGTTGCTCCTCTAGTTTTGGGTACATGTGTATTATACTTGTTTCCTCAAGAAACTGGTTTTGCCAGGAAGTCTTCTCTCACTGGAAAGCTGGATTCTGGAACTCTTCAACTTGGGAGTTGCTAGGGAGACAACCCTGAGGCAAGGAAATCCCCTCTCTGGGTGGCTGAAATTCAGACAATTCCACCACTTAGTCATGTGGCTCCCCTCTCCATGGCTACATACCTGCCATCTCTCCGATTAGGCCACTGCCACTCCAAGGGTGGGAGCAGAATTTAAGATCCAGGAACTCTGCTATTGAACTGCATAGATGAGAGCAAATGCAGCTTCTTTCCTTCCCCTCCCCCCATGCCTCTGACCCAAGGCTTCAATTAGCAGTGGGACCCAGGTCTAATCTTAGCTGTACTATTCTCTGGCCTGTCCTCTGAAGAGAAAAAAAGGCAAAAGGGGACACGGCTCTGCCGCTGACGTCCTCTTATATGTCAGCACGAAGAGGAGAACTTTGAGCCAATCATTTTATCCCCAGTTAATGAGCTACAAGGTGCTAAACAAAGACTTATTCCCCTTGAGAATGCTCTGATAAGCCTCCTATGTATACAATAGCTATAGTGCAGAAAAATAACATCATAAAAGCATAGCAGAGGAACAAAGTGCGTTCTGAGATTAGAGAATGAAAACAAAAATTCTGACGGAGTAGGAATGGTGGGGGTGGTGGGGTGGCGCACTGTGGATCAGGAAAGCCTTCATGAAGGAGCTGGTATCTTAGGTGAGTCTTAAAGGGTGGGTAGGGTTTTTAAAGCTAGAACTTCCAGGTAAATGTTATAGCATGAGCAAACATACAGAGGTTGGGAAAGCATAGAATGTGAGTAGAGGGACAGCGCAGAGTCACGTATGACTCTTAGAATACCGAGTATAAAAATACTGAAAGTAATGTGAGACAAGGCTGGAAAGGTTAGGTGGCACCAGGTGGTGGAAGGCCCTGAATGCCTACCTGCCAGATGAGGCACAAGGCAGTAGTCACTAGGTATTAAAGGTTTTCTTGGCAGTCTCTCCTTAAAGAGGTTCAGAAGGATTTCTAGCCCGAAGGGGTCGTGCTCTCTGATCCCAGTAACCCATTCGCTCTTTTCCACCTGCAGTACTTGTCACACCAGTACATCTGTGTGGTGTCAGTGATCATGTTAGATTTAGTCAGAGAATTTAGGTTCAGATTATTCTGCTTCTGACATTTATTAACTGTGTAACCTTGGGCAAATCAGTTTCCTGGGATCTCCTCATCTGTAAAATGAAGAGGTTCTTAATCTGGGGAATATGAACTTAAAAAAATACACACACACACATGTATATATATATATATATATATATATGTGTGTGTGTGTGTGTATGTGTGTATGTATATGTACATGCATATATACATATATAGAGAGAGAACTGTATTTTAATATAATTGGTTTTCTTTGAATCCTGTATATGTTATTTTATGCGTTTAAAAATGTTATTCTGAGAAAGATGCCATAGGCCTCGCCAGACCTCCCAAAGGTCCGTGATACAAAGTGAAGAACTCTACAGGAGACCTTCCAGCTCTAGGCCCTAAGTCTATCTGATCACATGTGCTTTGAGGAAATAAAAGTAGTTTTCCTCACAAAAAGGCTGGAGACCTGTTCTAGAAATATCTGAAATTCAAGGCAATTTGAAGGAATGGAATAAAAACATGGTACAAAACTATCACTAGATCTTTAATCTAACCATGGCTTGAATTTCATCCTGGTTTGGGCCACACATTGGCAGTTGCTCAAAACTGCTTGTATCTTGTCCGGTTGAATACGTGGTATAGTGGAAAATATACTGAACTTCAGCTCTTGTTCAGGCCATACCACTTACTGACTCTATGACTCTGGACCCTTCCCCTTTTGGGGCCTCAGTTTCCCTGTTTGTGATTGGATTGGACAAGATGACCTTCAAGCTCTAAATTTATATTCTTTCCTTGTAAATTTTGAACATGTAAATTTAGAGTAGGTAAAAGAGCTGCCCAGAAGTGAAATAGAATCTCCTACGTTTGAGATCTAATGCAATTCCACGTGTTCCTCAGATTCTCCTGTAAAATGAAAGATTGGCCTAGATGACCTTTAAAATCTCTCTCAATTCTGACATTCAGTTCTAAGGTCCTTTCCAGTTCTGACAACAAGCCCTTAGGTACTTCTTATCTAATATTCAATGTTTTTTCTTTCCAGGAGAGTGCCAAACCCTCCCTTTGTTTTTTTCTTATTATTATTTTACTATGTGGGATAGACTATATTGAGTCCTTTTTTCTTTCACTGAATTATGAACCACTCCATTTTACTGTTTCTGCTCTTCTAAGCACTGAGAAAGGCTCACTTGATTTGAAGGCCAGAGCATCTGCTTGAGGTATCAGGTGGCTGAAAATTACTGCTACTGTTGTAACTCCCCATCAGAGCCTTACAATCATATGAGAAAATGCATTTAACTGGTTTTATAGGACAAGGTGACAGATATCCCATTGCTTCTGAGAACTGTGGAAAATGGAAGGGCCCCCTCTCCTAAATAGGGGCTTTTACAAGGCACTAACTCAATGTTTATGGATTTAGAATACATAAATTAAGAGTAATTATATAATTCACTTTCCCTCTCAGTGCTATTCATGATTCATTTTTAAAATGAAGAGATTGTACCAGATGATCTCTAAGGCACCTTTCAGCTCTGACATTCTATTCTAGCATCTCTTCCAGTTCTGATGTTCTGTGTTCTAGAGTCCCTTCCAGTTCTGACATTTCTGTGACTATAGTCCTAAGACAAGGCTTTGGGCATCCTTTTTATTTTTGAAAAGGAAAATTTTACCAATTTAACAGAAGATAAAGGTATTAGACTCAAGTGAGGTAAGCAAAGCTAACCCTCTCAGCAGGATAAACTACTTGATAGCACAACTTTCTGACCTCTCAGTCCTAGTTATATCTATGTTAAGGCAGTCCTGCCCAAGATTATCAGGTCCACTTGAAGAGCCAGGAATCTTCTATGGAAGAATCTTAGAACTTGGGAAGTCCTTGTCAGAGCAGTGGATTGATTTGTTATTTGTCCCAGCTCCTCAGTTCAACATTCAAGGTCTTCCCTGATCTGGCACCAACCAGCCTCTCTTTGTAGCCTTGTCTTCCACTGCCTCCCTTTATGTACTCTGTACTACAACCAATCCAGACTATATAGTCTTCCCAACACATGTTTCCCTACACCATCAAGATTTTCTGTCTTTTGCTTTTACCTTTTTCTGTGACCAGTCTACCTTCCCTGCTTCACAGCATGTTGAAATTTTATCCATCCTTCACAATGCACAATGGTGGCCACATAGTAAGCATTTAATAAATGTTTATTGAATTTAACCACTTTTCTCTGACCTTACCTTTTTTTTTTTTTTTTTACTCTTTTGTTCCTCAGACTGTCTATAGTGGTTAGTCAAGAGCTGAAAATCTGAAGACATGATGGGAAGAGAAGAGAACTAAACCAGGTAGGAGCTTATATACCTTCTAATCCCACAAGTGTTTTCTTAAGCACTTGTGTTTCTGTTGTAGGAAAAAGTGAATTGTTACACGATATTAGAAAGAGACTTTATACTTGTCTTGAGAAAAAGACAAATTTGGCTCTCTAGAATTATTAACATTACTTTAATACTTAATAAAAAGCAAACTCATTTAGTTCATAACAAAAAAAGAAGTAGAGATCATGGGAGGTAAAATGGATAATTTTGATTACATTAAATTTAAAAAGTTTTGTAAAACAGAACCCATATAGTCAAAATTAGAAGGAAAGCAGGAAACTGTGAAAAAAAAATTACAGCAAGTTTATATGATGAAGGTCTCATTTCTCAAATATGTGGGGAACTAAGCCAATTTATAAAATAAGTCATTCCCCAATTAATAAATGCTCAAAGGATATGAACATGCATTTTTCAGAAGAAGAAATCAAAACCATCTGTAGTCATATGAAAAAGTGCTCTCAATCACTAATAATTAGAAAAATTCACATTAAAACAATTCTGAGATACCACCTCGCACCTCTCAGATTGATTAGCTAACATTACAGAAAAGAAAATGACAGATTTTGGAGGGGATGTGGAAAAACAGGGACACATTCACTCTTGGTGGAGTTGTGAACTGGTCCAACCATTCTGGAGAACAATTTGGAACTATGTCCAAGGGACCATAAAACTCTGCATACCCTTTGACCCTTCAGCACCACTACTGGATCTATACCCCAAAGAGATTAAAGAAAAAGGAAAAGGATCTCTATATACAAAAATATTTATAGACGTTCTTTTTGTGGTGGCAAAGAATTGGAAGCTAAAGAGATCTCCATCAATTGAGGAATGACTGAACAAGTTGTGGTATATGATTGTGATGGAATACTATTATGCAATAAGAAATGATGAGCAGGATGGTTTCAGAAAAACCCAGGAAGACTTATACTGATGCAAAGTAAAGTAAGCAGAAGCAGTAGAAGATTGTACACAGTAACAGCAATATTGCACTGTGATCACATGTAAAAGACTTAGCTATTCTCAGCAATACAGTGATCTAAGACAATTCCAAAGGTCTCATGATGAAAAATGCTATCCACATCCAGAGAAAGAACTGATGAATTCATATTTTTTCACTTTCTTTATTTTTTCTTGCTTATACTTTTGCAACATGGTTAATGTGGAAATGTGTTTTGCATGACTTCATATGTATAATGAATGTCATTTCTTGCCATCTTAATGGGTGGGGCAGGGACTGGAAGGAGAGAAAGAATTTAGAACTAAAAATAAAAAAAATTTAATTTAAAAACCTCACTTACATAGTACTTTAAAGTTTACAAAAATTACTATCCCTATTTTACAGATGAAGAAACTGAGGCTTGGAGAAATGAAGTGCTTTACTTAAAATTACACAATAGCATTTGAGCTGGAATTTGAACTTGGTCTCCTATCCGGTCCTCTCTCCACTATACCATGATGCCTCGAAATTTAGTACCTCAGATCACTGTATGTCATATCTCTGACAGAATTTGTTGTTTATTTTTAATTAGATATCAACAATTCCTTACAAGGTTTATATGAGACTGTTAAGAGGAAAATTTAATAAGATAATAATTGAAGAAAATATCAATAAAACTGGGTATGATACCAGTTTTCCTTTCATACAAATGTATGCAGTAAAGTTACTTAAACAAGTACTGAGACGATGGGTGAAAAATGGTGCATGGTGGTGAAGTTAAAACAAACAAGAAATAGCTTATCGAAATAGAGACTCTCCACATATCTATGCTAAAGCCCCACACGTGTGGGCATGAGTGGATGCAGCAATTCTCAAATCATGATCCAGCGCTCTAGAAGTCTTTCAGGTGTTGTGAAGACTGCTTTCAGGTTAATCATCATGTTATTCATAATGCCATTCCTTCATTATAGTGATCATATATCTATTAATATATTCATCATTATTGATACATCTAAATGTTTTTCTCAAATAAATTAATAAATTAAGATGATCAGAACATCCCATTATAAGCCACAGCATTCTTGCATAAATTTTGGTACATCTTTTTTGCAAGACTACTTTACCATAGTAATCTGTGAATGGAATTATTATGAGACTTAGGGATCAGTCACTTAACAGGCATTTATTAAGTACCTGCTATATGCCAGGTACTTTAATAGACATTGGGGATAGAAAGAGAAAAAATTAAAGGAAACCTGCACATGCATACATACGTGTGTGTGTGTGTGTGTGTATGACAAAGTAATTGATCAGGGGGAAAGCATGAGCAACTGTGGGGATCAGGAAAAGCATCATGTAGGAGATGAAACTGGAGCTGAGCTTTGAAAGAAATTAGGCATCGTAAGAGGCAAAAATGAGGAAGGAGAGCATTCTAGGTATGGGGGAAGGCCTTTGCAAAGGTGCAGAAACTGAAGATGAAGTGATATATGTTCAAACAAGGCCATATTGGTTGGGACCATAAGAGGGTGTGAAGGGGCATAATGTATAATAAGACTGGAAAGATAGATTGGAGCTAGGTGGTAAAGGGCTTTAAATGCCACACAGAAAAATTTGAATCTGACCCAGATACAATAAGATGCCAATGTTGTTTATTAACCATAGAAGTGACATGGTCAGACCTGTGTTTTCAGAATATAACTTGGAAAAAAAGAGAGACTTGAGGAAGGGAGACAAATTAAGAGGCTATTGAATGAAAGAAAAAGCATTTATTAAACATTTAGTATGTGCCAGGCCCTGTGTTCAGTACTGAGGATACAAATACAAACAGATGACAGCCCCTGTCCTACAGGAGTTTACATTCTAATGAGAGAAGATAACACGTAAAGGGTTATGGTGATGGTCCCCGATGACAGAATATGGATCTCCTCCATTCTTCTCTGGCTTCTGCTTTCTCTGGTAAAGAGAATGATCCTTAGACTGGAAAAAGTGTGCCTCTTAGGGAGTTGATACCCAAAATAAGTCAGGAAACAGTGAAAGAGCATTCAGCTGTCCTTGATGAGTTCAAATCACTTGGTACAGATGAGTGACATCTTCAGGTACCTAAAGAACTAGCTGATATGATTCCTGGACCACTGTTGGTGATCTTTGAAAGATTGGGGAGAACAGGAGACATGGTTCACCTAGATTTTAGTAAAACATCCAGAGAAAGTCTCTCATGCTATTTCTGGGCTTTTTTTGGGGGAGGGGGGAATAGATGGAACGATATAGACTAGATGAGATTACAGTTAGGTGAACTCAGAACTCATTGAGTGTTAGGCCTAAAAGATAGTCATTAATGGTTTAATATCAGCTTGGGAGGAGGTCTCTAGAGGAAGGCTCCAGGGATCTGTACTTGTCCCTATGCTTTTTTGTTCTTTTTTAAATTAGTGTCAGGTAAAAGCATAGAAGCTATGCATAAAAGTATAGTAGCAAACTTAGCAAATTTGCAGGTGACACAAAGCTAGGAGAGAGATAGCTAACACATTGGATAAGAGAGTGAAGATCCAACAGGATCTCAATAAGGTAAAATATTGGGCCAAATATCACATGAAATTAAATGAAGGAATTTTAATAGAGATGAGTGCTACATTAAAATTGAACCATTAACCAACTGCTCTTTGAGTCTGGCCATCCAACCAGTCTGAATCCATCTAATTGTTTAATCATTTAATCAATATCCCTTCATCTTTTGCACAAGGATAGTAATGAGATATTTTATCAGAAGTTTTGCAGAAGTCTAGAAAAACTGTATCTTACTGTTCTCACCTATGTGTTTAGTAATCTTGTTAAAAAAGGAAATGAGGTTAGTAGGCATGACCTGTTTTTGGTGAAGCCCTGACTCTGTAATTACCTTGCTTCCCTTTCTAGATATTTGCCAGCTATCTCTTTAACCACCTAGTCCAGAATCAAAGACAAGCTCACTGGCTTACAATTTGAAGATTTTGTTCTCTTTTTTGAAAACTAGGACATTTCCCCTTCCCTAATCTCATGGTACCTCTCTCATTTTCCATGATCTTTGAATGTAAAGATTTGCCCATAGTCACAGGAGTGACAAGCATCAGAATAACTCGGGTATAATGACTCCAGCCACAGTACTCCTTCATGTCCCTTACTTTGATCTATAAAATACTATGTAAATGCTGACTGTTATCATTAATAATGAAAAGAATAAATTCTCTACTAGATTTCTAGCTCTTTAAAGGAAGAGAACTGCTTCTTATTTCTGTCTCTCCCTAGCACCTAGCAAAGGGCCCTTACATGGCAGTTGCTTACTGAATGTTACTAAAATGTAGGGTGATTTCTTTCTTTCCTGTGAACTGTGAAGGTTCATCTTGGGCACAGATGTTCTGTGTAGAGCCATCAAAGGCCTAAAGTACAATCTGGGAATGCATCCAGGTATTTGGGGAGTGTGTGGCCTCTGCAGACCCCTTTCCGTGATGACGCACTCCAGGATCATGCCTCCCCCGGTGCTGGCAGACTGCTCAGAGGCAGAGGGTGTTTTTGCCTGGCCTTTGAATCTCCTCTCAATCCCACATCTGGTAGAGAGAGGAATGAGGACAGAGTGTGTCTAGGCCAGCCCCACATGAGAGTGACTTCGTCAGCTTTGAGACTGCACAGGCACAGAGTGGGAGAAGGGCCTGGGGCCTCCCATCATAGCCTGGCTGTGATGTCTCTTTTGAAGGTGGCACACGGGGACATGAGAGAAAACAGGGGAAAATGAAAATACAAGGCCATTGACCAGAGGATATTGACCTTTGGGCAGACCATGTCTGTAGGAGGGGCCACAGGTTGTAATGGAAAGCATGCTGGCCTCAGAGTTCGGAGCTTTGGGTTCCGATCCTGCCCCAGCCCTCTGTGAAGTGGGTGAGCTTGCACAAGGTACACATCTTCCCTGAGCCTCTCTCTGTTCCTCAGTGAGGAGACAACACAGGTTGGTGAAAAGACCACTGGGGACATTGCTTGTTTGGAGACTTGCTACAGTGCTACATACTTG